TCCTTCGACATTTTGGACACCAACTCCGCAGATTTGCAAGCATCTGCACCGCTGATCTACGCCGACTATGAACGACGAAGACCAGCTAAGGAAGCTTTGCAAACCTGCCCCTCCCACCCGGACTTTGGTCCCTCCCTCCCACAGGCAGCTTCGCCCTCGCAGGTAAGCTCGGTCTTTCAAGGAGGGGGGGGTGTGGTATACTACGCATCCACACGGGCCTGCAAGGCCCGACCAAACAAGGAAAGTAAGGACCCTATAGGCCCTGTGTCGTTTTCAGCCTGAAAGCCTAAAAACAAGGGCCTACAGACCCTGTGTCGTTTTCAGCCTGAAAGACTAAAAACAAGGGCCTACAGGCCCTGTGTCATTTCAGCCTGAAAGCCTGAAAACGAGGGCCTACTGGCCCTGTGTCGTTTCAGCCTAAAAGCCTGAAAAAGAGGGCCATTTTCAGGCCCTCATAAAGTCGACCTGCCCTGAAACTTAGGCACCAGACCAGGGCTTTTAGCACAGGCCATTTTTTGCCTGTTTTCAAGACCACCTTTGTTTGAACTTCAACACCAGGGTCTGGCACGTTTTGGCATTGGCAAGAGCAGCCTTCTCGACGGGCCAGCACTATATAAGACTGGCCCGCCCTGCAGGCTGCAGGCAGTCAGAGACGTTCACGAGGCAGTTCATAGGAACTTCCCAGGCACTTCACGTGCAGGAGGCAGGAGGCAGGAGGCAGGAGGCAGTCTTCAGGATTAGTAGCATTAGCAGTAGTCTTCAGCGCTGGGTGCTATCAGGTGCTAGAGGAGTAGTGGAGAGAGAGAGATGGTTGGCGGAGGCCAGGGAGACTTACCTGTGGGGCCATAGCTCCAGCTTCGTCTTTGATGTACCTGCAACAAGGCGCCACCTTCACAGGTTAGTACCGGACTGAGAGAGAGAGAGAGAGAGTTCTTCTTCTTCCTCTTCTAAGTCCACCATCTCCTCCTCCCCCTCTTGCTACCTGACTTATCAGTATCTGCCAACTACGAGAGAGAGAGAGAGAGAGATTGGTGACTTTGGGACTTGACGACATTTGGGTCCAGACTCAACATTGGGATTCAGACATTTGACGAGGGATTATTTGGGACCTGTACCGAAGACTTGGTGTTGACGACATTCCCATCTTCCCCTCTTCTTCGTCTAACCCCCCTCTTCTTCGTCTGTGTATGGTTGGGGACTGGCGCATTCTTCCTGTGTGAGCGCCAAGCCCCTTCACACCACAGAATGATGATGATGTATGTCTGGTCTGCATGGCAACCTTGATTGGTATTTAAGCCTTCCGCTGTGCTATCTTGTACTATGTGAGAAAGGTCGGTTCTTGTTCTGGTCTGCACCTTTATGGTATGCGACAGTAGCAGTGTGTTGTACTCAGAATATCCAAGCGCAGGAAAGATGAACTGCCATAGCTTCGTCATACAACCAAGAGCAAGAGCGAGGGACAAGCTCAAAGGAGAGCTCTTCGAGTGCTGGCGGTTGAATGAACCTATGTTACCTGGGATGCCCTGGGGGTCTCCAACCCAGGTAAACCCGGGCATGTTAAGACTCTAAGATCTTCTTGTTCTTTTTTTAATCCGGTGTGCCAAATCCGGGCTCTTTTTCCTTTTCTAGTGTTGTTGGCTGGGGTTGGGAAAGGGGGGTATGAATGGGTTTAAAGACGCTTAAGCAGGTACAAAGAGGGGTGCCTTGTTTGAAACTTTTGTTTTATTTTCCATCCTCAATAATAAACACAATCCGACATGACTGCGAGGATTGAGTCCTCACCTGGCCGCTAGACGGCGGCCTCCAGTTGCCTCAAGGGTGCCCCTAGTGTGTGGAGCGCCCGCCCTAAGTAAAGGCAGGCCTGGTTTTGACAAGGGGCCCCAAATCTGCCAAATTTTGCCAATTGCCTGTGGTTGGGCGGCAGACAGTTACCAGGCGCCCGATGGTTGCAAATGCCCTGCTCGTGAGGATCAGAACCTTCGTGGAAGCTTGGAGGCTCCTGGAAGCTTCGTCGAGGAAGCAGGCCTATCACCCTATCAGAATGCTGGGAACACGTCACAAGACCGCGTGGGCTGGCTGGGCGCATCTTGAAGCTGCGGGCCCAGAGAAATGTCTGAATGGGTCTGGGTGCAGACACTTTGGGCCGACTTGAAGCTACTGGGCACACACACACCAGGCCCAAGCAGCCACATGCTGGGCTGCACTTTCCATACAGGAAAGTGCCCTGCCCAGCCAAGGTACATTCTGGCTGGCAAGCAGATGCGGCAGCGCAGCTGCTTTGCCGTACGAACGTCGAGGACACTCGCTCCAGCCAGGGCGAGCACGGGCGCTGTACGTGAATGGCACTGCTGCGCCAGCTGCCACTAAGTGGCCATAGCCGGGCTGCTGTGCGCCGAGTGCGTGGTCGGCGATGGTGGTCTTCAGGTGTCGGGGATGCACAGTGTGGGAAGTCGAGGGGTGAGGTGAGAAGAGAGAGATCCTACCTGGTGTACGCTGGCAGTCTGCATGGGCGATGTCGCCACGTACATTGGTCTTCAGCCTGGGATTGAATCCTGTTGCATGAACGTAGTGTAGGCTACAGTAGGGCCGCGGCTTGCTGACTTGGCAAGCACAACTACTGACGTGGCACACATCATGATCTGATGCCTACAGAGGACCTCTGCTGAGGCCGGCAAGAAGGTTGACAAAGCCTGCTGACATGGCAGGCATTGTGCACGTCTTGTACACCCTTGCTGATGTGGCAGACTACCAAAGGCAGGCACCGTCGCTGACATGTGCGGACCTCCTTGAAGACTTGGCAGGCAGGCAGGCAGGCCTCCACTACTGACGTAAAAGGCATTTATTAATTTCAGGACAGGATGCCATTGCTGATGTGGTATGTTGATGCTGACCTGGCAGCGGGCTGACATGGCATAGCTGGGGGAAAGAGTGCCTTGCGAGTTGGATAGGCAGGGCGCTGAGCACCAATCGTGAAGAGCGACATTGGATAATGTGTTGACGTGGCGAGATTGTGTTGACGTCGACATTTGACTTCATTGTATTGCCCTTATTTTGCTGTATCTCGGTGCACTGTGCTTTCTGCTTGGTCCAAAATCCGAAACTCATAAAATGCAATCAGACTCGCTTCTTCTTCACTCCACATACATGCAAACAGGTGGCGATCCATGCTGGCACTGTGCGCCCACACAAAGCTCAGAGATACTCAAGTTGAAAACACAGTTTAGTTACAACTCGCTTCCAACTGGCTATGGCGCCTGAGCGCTCACACATCCTTTGTCCACACACTGTTCGCACACACTTGTCTCCGGATCACCCTGGATATCCCACGCTCACAACTCTGTACAAAGAACACACACACACACACACACTGAACTCTAACTCTAAGCTACAGCGGCTATGGCCGCTCTACTGTTACTGGCTATGGACAAACTATCTCTCTCTTCAGCCCACTTCAACCTCGGGCTTCTGCAGACCACCTCGCACAAGACGCCTGGGCAGCGCTTCCGCATGGCTCCCACAAGAATGAGTGAATGGCTGGACGCTGCCTCTTGATTTATACTTCTGTAAGTCGCTGGTCTGCCCTTTTTCACCAGGCCCATGGTGCACACAGTCCCTCATGGTACTTGCTGACCGTACAAAGTGAGACTGGGACTGGGTACCGCTGACTAAGCGAAGTTGGACTCACCACTTGCCCACTTGCCTCTGGTCTTCTGTGTATAACGTGAGAAGGAACTTGAAAGGCCAATCCCGGACCTTCCGGAAGTCTGTGGACTTGGCCTTTCAGGACTGTAGCAGCTACGACCTTGACCTTTCAGGACTGTGGCAGCTACAACCTTGACCTTTTGGAGTTGCTACAGCTACGGCCTCTACACAACTATGACCCCTAGCCGACAGATATCGAACACCTACTGCTACTGTTGCATACTGAAACGGTGCAGACCAGAACAAGAACCGACCTCTCAATACAAAGTACAAGATAGCGTAGCGGAAGACTTAGATACCAATGATCCGAACAATCAATATTGCAATGCRGCCCTGAACATACATCATCATCATCGTTCCATGGTGTGAAAGGGGTCTGGCGCTTCACACAGGAAGACTGCGCCAGCCCCAACCATACAMWGACGAAGAAGAAGGGGGTTAGACGAAGAGGAGGGGAAGATGGGAATGTCGTCAACACCAAGTCTTCGGCACAGGCCCAAATAGTCCCTCGTCAAAAAGTCTGAATCCCAAATGTCGAGTCTGGATCCAATGTCGTCAAGTCCCAAGTCACAACTCTCTCTCTCTCTCTCTCTGTCGTAGTCTGAGAAGTCAGGTGGTGAGAGGGTGAGAAGAGATGGTGGACTTAGAAGAGGAAGAAGAAGAACTCTCTCTCTCTCTGTGTCCAGTACTAACCTGTGAAGTTGGCGCCTTGATGCAGGTACCTCGAAGATGGAGCTGGAGCTATGGCGCCACAGGTAAGTACCGCTGGCCTCCGCCAGCCATCTCCCTCCACTGCTGCTACTACTACCACCTACTAGCGCCCAGCGCTGAAGACTACACCTACAGCTATGGTCGCCCAGGGCTGAAGACTACTGCAGCGCTCCTCCTGAGTGCTGCGGCCGAATCCTGAAGACTACCGTCCTACTGTCCAACTACCTACCGTGAAGTGCATGGGAAAGTCCTATGTACTACTCGGCCTGCCTCCTGACTGCAGGGCGAGGCAGTCCAGGAGGCTGCTCTTGCCAATGCCGCAGGGAGTCAGGGGCTGCCGCTGCAGCTCCTGCTTGAGGCAGTCGTGGGAACAGGCTAAAGATAGCCTGCTCCGAAAACCCTGTTTTTGTGCCTGAGTCTTAGGGTCGGTCGAAACAATGAGGGCCTGAAAATGGCCCTCCGTTTCAGGCTGAAAAGCATCTGGGCCTGAAAGGCCCAGAAATAGGCTGAAAACGGAATAGGGCCTGCAGGCCCTCGTTTTTCAGTTTCAGGCTGAAACGACCGGGGCCTGTAAGCCCTATTTTCTAGGCTTCTAGGCTGAAAGTGCGGGACGGGCCCTGCAGGGCCCGTGTGGCTACGCAGTATGCCACACCCCCCCCTCCTTGAAAGACCGAGCTTACCTGCGAGGGCGAAGCTGTCTGTCTGAGGGAGGGACCACAGTCCGGGTGGGAGGGGCCGGTCGTGAAGCTTCATGAGCTAACCTTTGCTTCTCATAATGCGCGTAGATCAGCGGTGCGGATGCTTTCAAATCTGCTCCTGAAATCCACCGAGTGTCGTCGCGATCGCAGGCTTTGAATGTAACTTTGTACTGTCGCGGCTTGCTGCCGTACTTGCGATCGGTGATGACGCGGTCAACTTCCTGATGACCATCCATAGAAGGAGGGTCCTGCGACCGTCGGCCCTGAAAGTCGTCGCTCTTAGCTGGCGTGTATGTTGCCAGCTTTGAGGCGTGAAAGACTGGGTGGACCGTCAAATGAGGGGGGATTTTGATCGCAAATGAAGGGCCATCGGGCTCATTGCCCGCGGCTGATGTTACGGGCCATGGTCCAAACCACTTGGGAAGCAGTTTGCGTGAGACATCCTGTTCCAGTGCAAATTCTTCCGCGGAAACCCAAACCAGGTCGCCGGCGCGGATGGGACATGGCACGCGATGCCTGTTGGCTTGAGCCTTTTGCATATTCGCGCGGGCTTGAGCCAGCAATTCCCTGTACTTCCGGATGGAAGCGGGAGAGCAAGCAGCATCGATGTCGGCTGGTCGTGGGAGGAGAGGGTCGGCGAAGATACGGCCTTTCCGTCCACCGTGGTGCAACTCGAATGAAGTCACGACGATCGCCGGGTGCACCGAAGTGTTGTAGGCGAACTCGATGTCGGGGAGGCGGTCAACCCAATCTTTCTGGTCCGGACGGATGAGCGTACGAAGCATCATTTGAGCGGTTTGATGTGCCAGCTCCGTCTGCCCGTCTGTCTGTGGATGCCGAGCCGAACTTGGCTTCATCTTCGTGCCGGACTCCTGCATGAGTGCAGTCCAAAATGCTGACATGAAGCGAGTGTCGCGGTCGCTGACTATGTCTTCCGGTACACCATGGCCGCAAATCCAGCCGGTGTGCAGGAGGCGTGCCAGCTCGGGAGCCGTGGAGTAGTACTTGCAAGGGAGAAAACGCGCATACTTACTCAATCGGTCCACGACCGTGAGGATGTCGTCGTGTCCGAGGCGGTCGCGGGGGAATGGTCCGGTGACATCCATGGCAATGGAGAGACCGGGTTCCTGCGGGATCGGCATCGGGCGCAGCTCGCAGTAGGGGTTGCGGTTGCGGGGTTTGCTTCGTCGGCAAACTTCGCAAGAGTCGCAATACCTCGTGACATCGGTGATGAGGTTGGGCCATCGGAATCGCTGTCGAAGTCGTGCAATAGTGCGGTTGACTCCGAAATGGCCGGCGAGTCGCGAATCATGATACTCGCCGAGGAGGCAAGTCCCAAGACAGCGGTCGCGTGGGACACATAGTAAGTCCTTGCCCCGCGAGTGCAGGAGCAAGTACCCATCGGCGATGCGATAGTGGCTGGCCGGCAGGTGATCCGAAGATAGCTGCGCATATAGCATGGCGAGATCTGGATCGGACTCATAGCCCCTGATGAAGTGTCGCTGGAGCTCCTCGTCGAATGCGAAGGCATGATGTGTCATAGCGCAAAGATCAGGTCTTCGCGAGAGTGCATCTGCTGCGCGATTGGAGAGGCCGGGAAGATGTTTCGATGTGAAGTCAAATTGGTCGATGAAGTACATCCATCTGATCGTGCTGCTCACCGTATCCTGCGTCTTGTAGTAGGTCAATGGATTGTTGTCTGTGACCCATGTGAACCTACGTCGCCCAAGGAGGAAGTGCCGCCAACGCTTGAGAGCCATCACGAATGCGAGCAGCTCCTTCTTCCTTGCATCATCAAGCGAGTTGATGGGAGGCACTTTGTGGCTGAAATACTCCACAGGGTGCCAGTCGTCGCCGTCTTGCTGTTCCAAGACTGCCCCAATGCCATAGCCGGAAGCGTTTGTAGTCACTCTCGTCGGCAGGGTGGGGTCATAGATGCTAAGGACGGGTGCCATGAGCATAGCCGTCTTAAGTGCTTGGAATGACCGGCGTGCGTCGTCATCGAATACGAATGGTACCTTTGGCGATTGTAATCTCGTCATAGGTGCAACAATCCTCGAGTATCCGGTGATGAATCGATGATAGTAGCCCGCCAATCCCATGAATGAACGAACGTCCGTGGTGTTGGTGGGCTCGGGCCATACTCGTAGGGCCTCGATCTTGTCCGCAAGCGGACGGATACCTTGCGGCGTCACATAATGTCCCAAGTACTCCAGCTCCTACTGCGCGAATTCGCACTTGTCGCAGTTGGTTTTGTACTTGGCTTGTCGTAGCCGTTCCAAAACGGTGCGCAGGTGTTCCACATGCTCGTCCAAACTCCGGCTGTACACCAGGATGTCGTCGAGGTAGATAAGTACGTATCGATCCAGCATGTGTCGGAACTCCGTTGTCATAACCGCTTGGAAAGTGGCCGGGGCATTCGTAAGGCCAAATGGCATAATCAGCCATTCGAAATGCCCATATCGCGTCTTAAACGCGGTCTTGTAGCGATCCTCCTGTCGAATCTCGAGTTGGTGATATCC